AGGCCCTCGGGATGGGGGAGGGGCGGTTCTGATTAGTCATTCCGAAACAAGAAGACATCAACGCATCAAATGAATGCTGCTGCCAAAACGCGTTTAATACCCTGTAATTAATTTCTTTTTTGAACGTGCCCGCAGATGAGGCTCGTTGTTAAGGTTCAAAGACTTGTTTGGTGGTGATATCATCCCTGGATTGTTATTTATAGATCATATTGTTCATGGTTTACAGTTGATCATAAAAACTACTTTTTGTACTTTGTAAATGGGTATTTATAAGTAATATTCACCTGAATGTCTAAATATCAATTTTCAGATCATATCGATCATTCTTGTTACTTCCTAACGGTCTTCACCACTACCGACAACGCGTCCTCCTCATTCACACCACTCCCTACAAGCTCATACCGATTACTTTTAGTTTTCTCTAAACACTTGCTGATCACATCCTAGTTCTTTAAACCAATCATGCCATATAGTACTCACCTCTACTCAGTTATCCATACTCAGCCTTAACACCTAATAACAGCATAAACCTTGCCAGTTTTCTCTTAGCACCTGCATATCCCGCCTCCGTATTTTCTGCTTACTCTCCTTTGATAATTCATAGCACCTACCGATTCCTCCTCAATACCCTTTGATCAACCTCTGCACCGTGCGACAGCCAGCGGGGGCGATCCAGCTGCATTCCTACGGTCAGCAATCGTTTAATTTTCAGTTAATTTATTTTTTACCGGTGATGAATGTGTCAGCCAACACAAATTGTTCCGGACGCCCCTGTTTGGCATCGCTCTCGTCATCGATCACGGAGCACAATTAACCCCGGGCCGAGGTTCTCACAAGACGCTGTGTTTGAGTTGGCGGGGTCACCGCAGCCGCAGCGTCGCCGCAAGCCTTGTCTACTTGTGGGACTGTTATACCTAAGGTAAGGATGTGATGAACTGGGCTAGTTTTTAATAATGGAAGAAGCCAAAACAATAAAAACAGATCCATTGTGGATTAGGTTTTGTTTGGTGTAGACTTGAGGTAAAAAAGTATTTCAAGTCGTGCAGCATTTTAGAGTTCAGGTAATACTATTTTCACACGTCTAGCGGAAAGGTATCTCAAAATGAATTAATCAAAGGTAAAGTGTAGTAATCGTTACGTGAGGGGCATACATGAGGACAAATTTATATGTTTTTGAAAATAAATATGTACATATATCTTCAAAATTTCTTTGAATGCTGTTGAGTATTCAGTAATTTTTTACCAACAATGAGTCAGCCAACAAAAATTGTCCCGGATGCCCCTGGTTGGCCATTGGTGAATACTCAACAGCATGGACGTTGAAAAAGATACTTTAAGTCACAAGCACCCAGCTACAACATCAGTAATTTATCCGTTCGCCTCTCAGCAATCCACCTTCGCCAGGTTCTAAATAATTTCATACCATAAACAAATCACCAGATATCCTGTGGACGGATTAAAGGACTTTCGCAAGACAAACAGGCAAGCATCAATCTGCCGCCCGGTGGTTACCCAAACTACGTGAAAGGCTTGCACCAATTCACCGGGGATATATATGTTTAAGTTGAGCGTTGCAGACAATGGTGTGGGAGCGTTAGTTGATTTAAACGGCGATCTTTGCACGGCTGGACACGCCGCCCGGCGGCCATCACGTGAGAAAGCTGCAACACTAGGAAGTGTACCAACTCATTATATTAGCCACTCTGGACTAACCACCTGATTTATACCTCGGCACTCCTGTGTCCACTTTCGTAATTCGTCTCCGATTTGCTCTTGAAGATGAAGTGCTATAGCATTACTTCTTGGACGAGAACGTCTGCTCCAATTTGAATTCTCCTACACAGATCCAGAAAAAGAAGAGAATGATCCAGTGTTTCAGCATTTATTTGGCATAAAAACGTCTACTCCAATGCCAGTTCTTCCACAGATGAGATGAGCTTTTTAACCTAATTTATTTTTCACGTGATGCCTTCAAATTCTTTCGCGTACGTTCACTCACAGCTTCCGTCGAATTTTCCTTGGATAATAATCTTGTTTTGCTTAGCTTTCTAAATGAGGATTCATATTAATACAGTGGGACCTCGATAAGAAGACCCTCAACAACAAGTCACCCTTGATAACAAGTGTCATTTTCAAATCCTCTTGAACTTATTTTACCCCAAATCACATGTTATTGCAAACCTCAATAAGGAGTCACCCTTGATAACAAGTCTTATTTAATAATCCCCTCGAGAGTCTTGTTATCAAGGTTCTACTGTATATAAATTTCTTACAGCCGAGTGTGAGATTTTACAAGGCATTTCCGGTTTTTTGGACGGATCGTCTACTCTAATTTAAGTTATATACAGATGAACGTGTACCCCTTATGAGGAGTAATAGTTTTATCGTGGCGGACAGGCTTTCATAAACGTTATGCCTTGACAATAATGTGCCTACATTTGATACGTCCGTAAATTATTCCTTGGATGGTCAAGCTTGTAGCTTTGTTTCCATTACGAAGACGCCTACTTTTTCATATGCTATTTTGCAGACGAGCACTTGAGCACCCTTCGGTACGGATTAACAAATATCATCCTTTGATGAGTTTGCCTTCAATGCAGTTGAACTCTCTCGATTTCAACCTCATATTATATAAGTATGTTCGGAACAGCTTTATCTGTGAAAGTGCGCGTAAACCGTTGGTTTTTGTCAAAGAGCTTGCAGCGTGTAGTAGGCCTATAAACAAATGAGGAAAAAATCTTTCCATTGGCATTATTTTTAAACAATTTTGTCTGCTATGCTAGGAAAGTAATCTTCTAGAATCATCTTATACTGTATATTAAAAACTTTTGCAAAACTTATGACAGCTAGCCTGACCATACTACTGGACCGAATCAAACGCGGGTTGTACAAAAAGAAAGGTTATCATTCCTATATGTGCAGGTTTTATTTGTATTTTCAGAATATTTATGTTAGTTGGGTAAAAAAATTGAAATTCAACTTTTCTTATGAAGATTTAATATGGGGCTAATTTTATATATTAATAGACAAGCATGTTTATTGAAAATCTTTTTTTCTCAACTCCTATGCATCGCAGGGAAAGCTACGCATACCGTTAGAAGGATATTTTCCTATAGATCTGCAGAATCCCTTTATAAATTAAAATAGGCTCAAAAATAAGCACAAAAAAACTATTAAAAAAATTAACATGGGCCTTATAGGTTTTCATGTTAGTGACAAAATAACAACAAAATATAAACACAAAATCCAAACAAATGGAAGAAATTCCAATCACATGTTTACATTTACAGCGTGGGGTGAAAATAGAGAAGTTTGCACAATACATACTTTTCGTCGAGTTTTCGACCACGGGGCGAGCTCTAGTTCTTGCTAATATGATTATATTTTCTAAATGGTTATTTTCAAACCAGCGAATTATGTTTAATTGTTTTACTTCTATAAATTATGTTGACAGTTGCCTCTGGTGCAATTCTTTATGTATTGCAGTCTTTTTTCTCCTGCTCTAAGGCAATGTCATTGATTATACATTTCCCCCTAGCGAAGATGAATTATCAATGGTAAAACCAGGTTTACCCATCGGAGATATAATACTACTGTTATGAAAGTACTGCAGTCCTTTAGTCTAAATGGAACTCTAACGGTTCGGTTGAAGGAAACCTTCTTGAATCCTCCTTGTTGCTTAGCTCCTTTTAAGCTATTCTTGGAGTATGGCTTCATCTTTAAAAAAAAAAAAAAAACAGTCTTCAGATATATACTGAGACGAGACATACAATAGCACTTGGTTCCGCTACTTTGATCGTCTAGTAACTACTATGTTTTCAATATGGTTTTAGGATACCAAATCCCATTTCTGTCTTTGTTCATTAATTCTAGAATCTCCTCACTTAAAGTGAAAATATCAAAGATTTTTGGGACGAACATGGCCTGATTGTCAGAACAGCACTAAACCCTTGCAGTTATTTAAAACTAATGATGGAGATTGCTTTATTCACACACGTTTTAATGCCTGGCGGAATTTCAATTGAGGATTCAATATTTCTTATTATGCAAATCGATAATTCGTTTTTAAAGTCCCAAGACCGTTTTACAAATTATTGGGAAAGGGGTGCTCTCCTTTTTTCAAACATGATATTTAAATATTAAAACAGCTGTCAATGAAAAGTGACAGTATCTAATTATTGATAATTTATTCCCAAAAATAAATAACCATTTCGGTAGATTCTCCAGTCGTCTAAATGTTCTATATTTAACTACTTTTTGTAAATTGCAATATTAATAATATTATCCTATATATTAATAGGCAAGCAAGTTTATTAAAAACCATGTTTCTCAGCTCGTGTGTATCGCAACGAAATCTACGCATACGTATAGGACGCAAAGAGTCTAGGAAATGTGCAGAATCCCTTTATAAATTAAAATAGGCTCAACATTTAAAAGCCAACATATGAATTTAAAATTAATAAAAAAATAACATGGGCCTTATGAGTATTCATCCTGAATACAAACAGAAAATCAAAACAAAAATTGAAGAAATTTCAATCACATGTTCTATTTACAGCGTCGGGTGAAAATAGAGGAGTCTGTACATTACATATTTATGGCCAAGTTTTCGACTACTGGACGATATCTTTAGTTATTATTCAAATGCATATACAATAGAGAAAACCATTTAAGATGATTCTCTTGTATTCGCCCGATCATATAGTTTTCCATCTTTTATCTACATATATGCCATAATTTTTAATGGAGGTTTACAGTAATCGCTTTGTATACTTGTACACTCCACGTTTCTATCGCCTCCACCAAACCCCTCATCTACCGCAACGCGATCCTGTGTGCCACGACCGTTCAGCCGGCATGGCTGCAAATTCCTTCACGCGTTCTTATGAAGTGTGACCGATTATGTTAGGGTTAAATTAGTGCTGTCATCGCAGCGGCGTCGACGGCTGGTTCTGGCTCGGACTGTACCTCGGCGATGGTGGGGAGCTGCGGCGCGCGGCCAGTACAGCTCTCACAGCGTCCCGGGACACAAGCCCCCCACCCTAGTCATAATAGTGCGCTTGTTTACTTTTGTCGTTTTTCGCGGTCGCGTAGGCGTACATAGTGATTCGACACACTAGTGTGCGATCGGTATGAACAAAGTGTGAAATGGTGTTGGACTCTGGCGTCGGGGATGTGCTCGAGATGCAGCAGGAGAAGACCAAAACGGAGGAAGAGCGGACAGAGGAAGCGGCCACGGAGGTCGGGGTGAGTGAGGAATTGCTGCAGAGATCGCTGCAGAGTATGGCGCTGACGCTGCAGACCGCCATGATGTCGTCGCTGCAGCAAGCTGCACTGTTGCCCCCCAACTCACCCGCGGCTGCAGCGCTGAACCTACAAGCCTTCGAGTCCTACCTGACGCTACATCGCCTCAGCACGACCGTCCAGAGGCCGTCCAGTCCCGCGGCTTCGCTACCGGACGATCTACCCTCTGAGGAGCTCGAGGACGACCCTAGCCTCCTAGAGGACGAGGGTGATGACGACCCCCCTCCCCCCACCGCCACCTCCCCCAACCCCCAGTTCCCGGCGTTCCCCGGGGAGTCTTTCTACCCTTCGCTGCTTCTTTTTCAGCCCGAGGGTTCTAATACGTCAAAAACGGCGACAAAACAAAAAGCGTCTGCACCATCCTCCTCCTCCTCGACATCCACGACTTCGCGACCAAAGAAGCAGTTCATCTGCAAGTTCTGCAATAGACAGTTCACCAAGTCGTACAACCTGCTGATCCACGAGCGCACTCACACGGACGAGCGACCTTACTCGTGTGACATCTGCGGCAAGGCGTTCCGTCGTCAGGACCATCTCAGAGACCACAGGTGAGAACTCTACACCTTATGGGTTTTATAATTCATGCTGCATGATGAACTGTAAATTACCATATCACTTATAAACTAAAAGATAACTCCAGTAGTCTGTATTTGTATAACCTATAGAGATTCTCAGGTTTAACAAAAGACAAATATTGCATAATGGTAGAAAGGAAACATGTACCTACACACACACCCGATAAATCCCTTCACTATCTTCTAGCCATAACCATAAAATCTTTTACTTTGCACGCAGTTACTATAGTTAATGCTCAGAAAAGGTTTTCTAAAACTTAGACAAGATTACGCTTTCTGACAACGTAATTGCCTCAGATAATGAGTGGATGTTATCAAATATGAAAGCCATTTCTGAGCGAGTTCAAACTGCCAACACCACACCAGTTAATACCATCAATGATGCTTTTTGATATAAAGGCTGCTTTTTTATATTAGTTGGCATTTTATTACGGAATTATAAATGTACTAAAGTCATAAAGTAGTATTCATGCTAAATGATAACTTCTACATCTTAACTTCAATTGCACTTTTATAATATTGCATCAGATTTTATACCAAAATAGATAGATTTAGAAACCTAAATAAATCAATTTGATTTCATACCATACGTTTCTAAGAACGTTTTGATGTACGTTAGCTAAATATAGGACATAATTTCGCAATAAGTACTTATTACATTGTTTACAACACACACAGATCATTAACCTTAAAAGTTGTCCTACGGCTACGGTATGTACTAAAACGCTTATGTACATTGATTTGATAATTTACAGTAAAACAAAACTAACACACACACACCAACACATACACATACACAAAATAAAGCACAGTGCAATTATTGTCCCTACATGTCTAGCTATTAAAGTGACTGTAAAATGGCGGTCTCAATAGTAAAGAGGTTACAGCTTCATTCCTCTCGGCCGTTCAAGTCTCTTTCAGCCAACTCCGACGCAAATAACAATGCACTCTTCTAATTTGTCGTGTTACTTCGTATTTCCCGCGAGTTCAAAGTATTCTGAAAGGTACATTCTATGTCATTTTGTTGTTTTTAAGCAAACGCAGTAGGTAGTTTGTGGTTGAGGGCCGATTACACTAAACCTTCCGAAATCGAGGTGAGAGTTGATAGTGGATACAACATGCTTCTTCAATCTCTAGCTAAAACAGCTGATCTTCGATCTTGACAAATTTTATTGTCTTTACTTTATCTTTGCATACATTCGAACTTTAAACATTTGGCGATCAAATTTTCCTTTGTGTTGCTACTTAAGGTTTTTTGTTGTTTTTATCTGTTACCTTTTCATGCAGCATCACAAGATTGCATATAACATTTTGTATCCATGTAACTTATTGTTTTAACTAATTTACATTTCAATCGGTATTTAGCTTAAAACATAGTGCAGAAAATATTGTTTTGTAAGTTTAGTTTTGTTTACGTCAGAACAACTAACACGCAATAAATGCTTCATTTGTGTATGCCACAAGCTTCCCTTGCAGCATAAGCTTTGTGCGTTAATACCTTGTATTTGTAATACGTCTTTACACTTTTCTATATAATACGCATATTTAATATTGACTTACGGTTTTTGTTCATTTAATTTAAATCGGTAAATTAGCCAACAGTTAACAATATTAGGTTTAACCACGACAGTTTTTTTAAGTAGCCGTTTCTGTTCAGTTCTTACAATTGAAAAGTTTCACATAACAGCATTGTTTACTTTCATAACATCATAGCTTTACTTAACAACACGGGTAACAGACCAATGAGGTTTTAGGATTGAGAGAGAAGAAGTAAAATTTTAATGCTTCGAACTTCAACTTATCAGCTGTTTACCAATTTAATTGTTAACGATTGGTGCAATTAGTAATTGGTACAATGAGGTTATAAACGAAAAGATAACCTCTCTAAGAAGTTTTGAGTAGTGATTATTAGTAATTAAAAACCGGTCGTAGGTAAAGTAGTGGACGCAACTCGAGTAAATAGTGTAAGCAACTAACCACTGACATTTGATTTGAGTGGTACACGTATCCTGATGTAAAATCAGAAGCTTATTTTTATGTCCCTTTTATGTTGGTGACGCTTGAGTGCGCTGGTATCCAATACATGCTTTCTCATTATTTACTGTATATTTCACGATTATGTCTTTACCCTTTCGTTATAATACCAGAGCACAAGCGGTAGTTTTTAAGTGGACCATCTTATTTTCTTTGAGCAGTAATAGGTTGGTAAAATAATAATTATAAAAGAAAAGAAGAGAACCAAGAAGAAAAAGAAGAAGAAGAAGAGAAGAGGCTGCCAACCTCTTAAAAAAATAAAAATGATAAAGAAAAGGACTAACCTAAAGACATAAGCACAAACCACATACATAAAAACCCCTATTTTACTTTTTATAAATCGTTAAACTTAATTAAGAAAATTATGGGTGTGTACAAAGTGAAACATACAGCATAAAGGTTAGGTGAAATTCTATCAAAAGATATACGACATTTCTATTAGAAAACAAACAGAATTAATGTGACTATAATTAACGTGGACGTGGGGTAATGCAAGGGTCCTATCTTGGTCCTATCACTGTATAAAACCAACACTTGGCCCTATCTGATCCAGCTGGTGATGGTTGGTCCTAACAGTAGATCACCTTCACAACATTCCAACGGAGCCGGTCCGATGTTTTAGGCTTACGGATTTACAATTTAATTCCGACTTTGTTTTAGAATTGTTACTGTATAACAAATGTATAGGTGTTTTTTTAAGAATACGTTTTTGATATTGCAATGTGCATTAATAAAATCTTTAGAGCGTTTTTGTTTTTCGAGTATGTTTACACGAATCCGTTTTCTTTTTATGAACGGAACAGTTAACTGGTATTTTTACTTGTTTACTTTGACCTGTTGTTAGGCTGCATAATTAATTGATAGCGGTTAATTATCCAGGTCAACAATCAACCCCACTTGGAATCCAATATGTTTTAAGGACTTAACGTTAATTGGCCATTGACTATCAGAATTTTGGTAAATTTAAGAAAGTTGTGTTTTGAGTGATTTTAGAATACGTTAAACAAATATGGTATATTTTTCTGTTCGTATAGTAACATTGCTGTAAACAGTAACCAACTTTTAATTTGATTCCAATTCTAAAGTTAAATCGCTCAAATTTGTATACCACTGGGATAAAACAATCGTTCAATACCTAAAAATGTAAAATTATGTGAAAATGCTTTTTCAATACACTATTATGTTTTTAGCCGTTTTACATACGTCAATAATTGGTGGCTCCAAGTTACGTTTTGCTGACCATGCCAGCTATCATCGTTATTTGGGGGACGAGCAGGTTTTTAAATCCCTAGAGCCGCAAAATCAGCTGAACACTTACTTTCTTAAAACATGAATGCATATTAAATACACAATCATTGTCCATAGAATTGTAATACAATTGTTTTACTGTCACCGCTGCCTAGCAACTGTTTATTATTATTTTTGCTGGTTCCTCAAATTATTTCTTCACATAACCTTAAAGTTGTAGTTGGCTTGACTATCAGTGTGTACTATTATTGTGGTGAAATGTGGTAATAGGGTATAGTTTGTTGAAAAATAGCGTTCCTACCACGGACCGAAATGGCTTTGCAGCTCTCGATCGTTTCAAATTCTCGACTTCATCTCGAACTGAAAAACTATCTCGAGCCCGCAAAACCTTATTTTCGGCCCTAGGTACGAAATATTCTATTGTCAAATGGGTAAATCCTATAAATGTGTGAAGACAAACTTTGTTAGATTTGTTGTTGATTGAATCTCAGAGAGCATTTTTCTGGACGGTCCATTCTGGAATTAGTGTTGCACGTGTCCTAAGTGAGTTTTAATGTATTTTTCCAAAGTATATGTGTAAAATGTATTCCGTTTTGTTTCACGACCCAGTGTAACTACTGCGCCGCCGTTGTATCGCACGCTGCGCAGACCTGAGTCAACTACGCCCAGTCAATACCGGCGCATTAGCACCTAACCTATTATTTGGCCGTGGCAGGAAGCCATTTTTTGCCGCCTTGTTTCCGGGTTCTTAGAACCCAGAACACCAGATTGATTTTTAATAGCTAACTTTGTTGAGTTTTCCAATATGATATAGGCCTACTTGCAGTTGTATTTTAACTGCCTGTCTTTCACAATAGAATTGGGAATACGGTTCAGGATACAAGAAATCAACAGATCTTTGAACAACTTACAATTTGTATCAGCTCCGTTCTACACTTATCCTCACTTATATTTGTATAGTTTAAAGTGCACTGTATGACCGTTTTATTACAAGAACCAAACTATCGTATTATTGTTTTATTTTTATTTTTAATATTTTAAATATTATTATACTCTTGTATCATATTTATTTACCTAAAACGCAAAGCTAACAGCTGTATCGATGGTAATTTCTATTTTGCAACAACCTGGTTTGTAGGTGAGGTCCATTAATTAATACAGTTGAATAATTAGGGTATCCAGGACAGAGAATGTAGCCCTTGTTTCCACAAGACCATTTCACACTTTAAAAAATAAAATAAAAATATACAAAACATCGTACTAAAGTTTTCTATTTACAATGCTTCGCCACGTTTATTATTAACGTGCGGTGTTTTCGATGTTCAATAATAATCTGTAAATTATAAATAAAAAGTAAAAAATACCCCCAGTTTAAACACTATTAATAAGTGTACAGTCACTTAGTTGAACTTAAACTACTCTAAAAATAACAACGTTGGATTCATCTGTTAAAACGAATTAATAATTTCGATTTAAGGACAAGTTCAAATGAAAATTTGCAGTGGAAGTTTGCACATATCCGTACTTGATTTGGCATGTTATAGTATAAATATATGGCCCTACGTATAATACACAAATATGGACTCTAATAGGGCAAATGGTCAATTGTCATGTTATAAAGCAAACCTTACATAGAATAGATTGGGCAGGTTTTCAGCTAGAATTGCTGCAACAACGGTACCTGCTTTGTC